ATTGAGTCATGAACTAATTCCCTGTTGTTAGCTAATCCATAGGGAAATAAACAAAATAATTTGTTGTGCCTTACCATGGGCTAAGTGCAATATATAGTTGTCTCTTCCTGAATTCCAAGTACCTAGAGCAGTGTGTAGTAAATGTAAGTCTTCTGTAAATATTCACTAAATGTTACATTGTTAATGTACACTGCATTAATTACTGGTTGATATTAAACTATTCATAGTCTTTTTTACATTGGCCCCCACAAACCACTTTCTTCTCCACCCTACACATTTGATATTCAGCAGAGTTGGATGAAAGGACAACACCAATCATCTTTAATAAACTTTATTTCATTAGATGATAGAATTTATCATAGTTATTTATGCTTGGAATTTTTTTCTTTGGTACTTTTTTTTTAGTGCTGTTAAGTTCTAAAGATTAAAAAAAGGTGTCCTTCATGTGGATGGTGATGGATAGTAATTAGTCTTTGGGTGGTGAACATAATGTAATCTACACAGAAATCAAAATGTAATGATGTACATCTGAAATTTATGTAATATTATAAACCAATGTTACCTCAATTTAAAAAAAAAGAAAAAGGTGTCCTAATCTGGTAAAAGAAAATGTGTCCCGTGAGTCTACTTTTATTTGGAAGCTTGTTGTGTACTATGCTTTTTAAAAATGTTATGTAACTTTGTATATTGTCACGAACTAACAAGAAATATGTTGGATCCATGAAAGCTAATTTCCTCTTTGGAATACCTGCAGGGCTCTTTGTCAATCCAAACCAGGTTTAGCCTAATTATATGCTAATTAGGCTAACTTCATATATTCCAGTTATTTAAACAAGAATGATAATAGCCTGATTAGAAGGCAACTCTGTTGAGCCACAGGGTATATGATTGATGTTAAAGCATCTATCACTATGACTGTAAAAATAAAAAACACTTATTAAAGATCAGGTGTCTGCAATTCAATAAAACTTTCCTTACTTTGGGAGAGATTTTAGGAAAACTAATTTAAGATAAAACCCCAATTTAGATATTTTAATACTTTTAGAGTATAGTCATTACTGAACATTTTTCCTTAACTCTCTTTTATTTGTACTTGAATTTTTTCTTTTGTAAGCTATCAAATCATCTCTAGGTAATAAAAAATGGGTATTGTGTATAAATATTTGGAATGTGTGTCAACAAAAGAGTACTTGTATCACGTGTTTATAAAAATGAATGATTAAATATTACCTACTGTAAGTATTACTAAATGATAACCTGAAAAAAATTCTGGTTTTAAGAACGAATTTGTTTGCTAAAACTCATCAAAAATCTTGTCTTGCCGAGTATCTCTTTTCACCATCTCATTGATCACTGAAGTATTCCACAACCTAAAGTACAAGAATCATTTTTCTAACATATAAAATATATTAGGATTTAATTTCAAGTTCATTATAACACAAATCTGCAAAAAGAAATTGGAGGATGGTTATTTAAATTTTTGGTTATAAAGTAGAAAAATATTTATAGGGAGATAAATATTTGGGATGAATGAGTGAACAAATGAATAAATGACAAAATTTCATAATCACCTTAAAGGAACTAACAAAGTACTCAAATTGAGACATCTATTATTTAACATATGAAATAATTTTTCCCATTACGATTAGAAAAAAGGAGATTATACTAATGAGGGTACAAATATAGCCTAAAAATTAATTCATGGATAATTGATTTTCCACATTGCATTTAATTTTATTTCACTTGTTAAAATATCTGTAATATACAGAATAAAAATAAGCTAGTTCTAAATACCTAAATGAAAATAGGAAATAACAGTAGTGCTTAATTATATTATCAAATGCCTCCTGTTTTCAGCTGCGATGGAGCCCTTATACATTTCTGCAAGATTTTTCTTTACATGTCTTACATTTTCAAAAGCCTTATCAAAAAAGTCTTTTATAAAGAAGGAAATTTGTACATTTTTTTCCCTCACATATGTACTGACAATCCCCGTTACTGGGTCAATTTATAAGACCAGACAAATCCACATAGAGTCTTTCCTTGTCATTCTTGTATGAGGACATAGAAACCAAACAGCAAAAGACAGAGAACTGAGGCCCAGTCTATAGACAATATAGTTACTATGAAGGCATATACTTTGTTAGATGGAGAGACAAAGACATTATTTATTAAAAGGAGGACGAGAGAGATACTTTCCTGCTTACTCCATTTATTCTCTTAATTTCAGAATGGTATCAAATACCAATCATCTCTGTCATATTTTCTCAAAACACTGTTAGTGAAAAGGTTGATTCCCACTGCTATCTGGTTTCTTTTCAGTGGTAACTGAAACCACACAACTGCTCTCAATCAACTTGAAATCATCCCAATATGATCGTCTTTTTGAAATAAAGTTTAAAAGCAATTCTACCATCATCACTCATGTTTTATAACTAGATTTTTTTATTTTCCTCATTCAGAAAGAGATGAAATATTACACAAATGCTTGCCACTAATCTATTCAATATCCCTTTACTTATCCATCTTTCCTTTTCAGATTTCTCTCATCTGTTTCTCTAAACTTGATTAACTTTTCCATAAAATATTAGACGGGTATATCTGGAAGAAATTTTCAACCACAAGTGATCTTTTTATTGCCTTGATAGTTTTAGGACTTGTTGAAATAACCCTCTCCCCTTTTAGAGATGTCTTCAAATTGAGAATTTACAAACATTGTATAATTATAATTTGAAAATAAAAAAGTGTCTTCTGATTTAGAATGTGAATAAACGGATTAGTCTCCATATCATATAATAATAAGAGAAAGCAGCTTAGAGCATTGAAAATGAAGCGTCAGAGCCTAATTGCATATATTGGCTCAACATGTTGTAAATACCTAAAGTTGTAAATCTTGACCTCTATAATCCCTCCTTCAACCACAAAATCATATTCTTTCAATTATCTTACTTTCCCACTCTTCATCTTTGATGACCTCTAGTCCTTTAATCCTTCCTATTAATAATATAAAAACTAACATATTAGTTCATAAAATGTTGCACATTATTTAATTTAATCTTAACAATCTGTATTATTATTCCTATTTTGGAGAAAATGAGACTCAGGTTTAGAGACTCACTCAAGATCACATGGCTAGTACTTTTGACATCAACATAAACGGAGGGGGCAGATGATTTATTCTCATCTTACATCAACCATATAAACAACAGAAAAAAAACATATAGTTTTAGAAGTGAGTGTAGCCACCCTCAAAACAGGAAGGTCAACTTTTGGAGGACCACAAAGTGCATGTGAGAAAATTGTGTTCTGTATCATGAAGTGGTGAGAGCTGGAAGCAGTTCAGATAACCAAGAGGCCTAGTGCAAGGATCCAGGCACATAGCGCCACCTTCCAGGCTAGGCACAAGAGAAAAGGATGCCTGTCTTTAGGAAGGAGCAGAGCTTGGGGTAATCAATAGGAAAATACCCCTGGTAGCTGGTAAAGTTAGGAAGATTGGAGAGCACCCAAGCTCAGAAAACGACCTCCCAGGTTTCCCATCTGGCAGGATATAATGTTCATTCCTTATTCTATCAATGACTTCAACCAAACCTTAGTAGATCTTATGCTTCCCACAATATGTGCAGTATAAGCTGAGACCATAGTCTTTCAGGCAATCTCAGCTGCAGTGAGGAATGCATAACTAAGACAAGAATTACCAAATGTTGTAAGAGTATTAACTCCACGAAAGACGACAAACTCAGTGAAAGGTAGGGAAGGGTCAGGGATCATAGAGAATTCAAAATATAACTTTCAAAGAAGTAAAATTAATATACTCAAGGGAAGACTATTGCATATATGAAAGAAGGATAGGAACTTATGAAAAAGAACGAATTAAAAATTCTGCAACTGAAAAAGGTAGATCTGGGACTCAAACACAGGTCTTCTGCCTCCAAGTTCCATGTTCTTTCCTCTGATACCATAGCTAACCCCCACATACACACAGATACGTATACATGCTTTTTTGCTTGTTTGTTTAGCTTCCTCATTACTCTGCCTCTATACATAGTCTTGACCTCATGGTCCATCAAAGGAGTGCATTATTCTCTTGTCTCCACATCTTCTACTCTGCTCACCTTGCAAATTTGTAATCTTGTGATTCTCAACCTTGGTTGCATATTAGAGACACCTGGAAACTTAAAAAGAAAAAACACAGTAACTACCGTAGACTAATTAAATCAGATCCTCTGGGAATAGGAGTCATGCATTGATGCTCTTTCTAGAAGCTCCTTGGATGATTCTATGAGAATAACTGCTATTATCTATTTTCGTTTCAGAAATGGCTAATTGTTCACCAAAATGTGTGCCTTCCCTTGCATAGTATAAAGCTGTCACTAGGAAGCAGCTGTATATCGAGGGAGTCATTCTTGAGCATCACATAGAGGGCCAGGTGATTAGTTCTCAGCATTAGAATGTGGCCTGAAAAAACGTATATCACTTCTGAGAGAAGGAAGAAGCAGTGTGTATTCTGCATTCTCCTTTTCCATCTGCTAAATAGATGCAGAATATTTGAAGGGTATAGCAGACGCAAACTCAGAAGATGGAAGGAACCTGGGTCCATGAATCACCACTTAAAGTCATGCTCTGATCAAGTTTTATATCATCATAAGATGGCTGAGAGGAAAACATTTATTGTAAGTCTCCAAATTCTAAGGTTTGTTTCATCAGCTGGAGTTACCCAGATCAATAGAGAAATTGGTACCTTGAAGTGGGGTGCTGCCGTGAAAAAAATCTCAAAATTTGTGGCATTAAATTAGTGATCAGGAAGAGTGTGGTTGGTCTTAAGAGTGAATGATTGTCTTTTAAGGATGTTAAGGGCTGGAACACACCACACTAAATTTTAGCACTTGAGTAGCAACAAGGGTACCAAAACCAGCAACCACTATGGTTGCCCATGGGAGGGAATGGTCAGAGCCAAGAGCATGTGTGTACATTAGGAAATGCTAAATAAGAAAGAGGAGATATAGATAAGAAAATAATTATTTATTTTGCTACTTCAGATCAAGATAACTTAGTTTAATTTGGCATTCAGTTAAAAAATTATTTGAATTCCTTAGCCTATCCAGGTGGCTGTGACATTACAATGCTAATGGAGAGTTTAATTTAGATGGGAAGCAAAGCAACAATTTTAATTTTCCTTCCAGACTTAAATCCTGCTTCTCAATTGAAAATAAAAATCTGGATTTATGAAGACAAGATGACTGGAGACTTGGGATCAAAAGCATGTAGGTAACAGAAATAAATGAAGTCACTCAGGAGCAGTAAAAACCAAGAACAAAGAAAAGCGGAAAATGTAGAGGATATACAGAGTAGAAGCCAGTGAAATAATGAATAAACAAAATAAATCATGACGGTTTCCTTACATAGTACATATCACATTATATTGGCTGTTTTATATGAGCTTATAATTGAACCAGATGGTTTTGTTTTTTTCAAATGTTATTTTTCCACCTTGATTTCAAGATCCTTAAAGGACAAGAACCACTCTCCCTCTTCTTTTATATTTTCCTAAACCTACAACCCCCAGCACAGTTTTATACATACAGTAAAACTCAACGAATTTTTGGTTCACTAAACCTGGCAAATTCCACTTCCCTCATCCATCCACCTGCAAAAAGCCCAAATCTCTTCTTAAAAGCAACTTTGTAATGTCCTACATCAACCCCTACAGGTAAACTTACAGAATTCTTGGCTACTAGGAGTGTGGGTTTAAAGAAACATTGTAATGTATCGGTGGTTTTCTGAGAGATGTTTTATCAAGTTGATGACAATGGGAAAGATCAGGAGCCTATGGCTAATTTTGTAATGGAGAAATACAAAGCCAAACACAGCCTCTAGTGAGGCACTGAGGAAACAGGAACTGAGAACTAAGGATTTATGAGTTTGGGGAAGATGGAGTATCCAACCAGCTCCTGGTATCATCCACTAAATGGTCCCAGCTACTGATCAAATGCATTTAACTTGGCACTAGGATGCTGAAATGTACATCATTACAAAACACACCTAACTGCAGAAAAGACTTTCCTTCAATTTTTTTCTTCTCCTCTAACTACCCCCTCTTGTATTTGAATCTACCCTTCATTTCATTCTCTTGCCAAATTGTCTCATTTGGGGGCTTCATTTTTTCCCCCTCTGATCTGTATGGATCTGAGTGTATACTTGCTCATATGCTTTTGGTAGTAGTGGTTTCCAGATCTTTGGTACTGTATTGTGCCAACTCTGATTCTCTTTGGGACTGACTCATGAATTAAAGAGAAATGTTTGCATGACCTGTTTATTTTCCCAATGCTGGATTTTAAATTGTTGAAATGAGAAACGATTCTCACTGAGCATGGCTAACTAGAAATCAGAAAACAGATAATCCAGATTAGGCTGTGGATAAACAGGTAAATTGTGGATCAACAGACACTACAGAGTGGTGAAAGAAGACGACTAAGGACAAATGCTGCCACAAGTGCACTGGGAAATAGAAAAGTAAATGCCTGTGGCAGGTGGGGGGGTGGGCAAGGAATAAAGCTGAAGATTGGAAAAGGTTAGGAGGTTAGCCTAGGTTGGATAATATAAGCGTAAGTTTTGGTGTCAAATACCTGGGCTTAAAATCTTACCTGTGATCTTCAGCAATTAAGAGTGTGGGCTGATCATCAATATTTCTACCTAATTCATAATTTGAGGATTATGTAAGTCCATTCCTTAGAACATAACATGGTATTCAGTAATTGGCAGCTTTTATAATTATGTTCAAGGATGCAAGGGTCCAAAACAGAACTGTTAGCCTACCAGTGTTGGCAGCTTTCGAGAAGAGCAAATAGCTATAAATCAAGAAAAGAGTAGTCTCTCATAGGCTAGAGAAAGAGGCACAAGAGTCACACTCAAGGCCACAAAGCAGTGAACCTTTTACTAAATAGTAAAGTTTAAAACCACACAGCTTAACAGTAATTTTAATTTTACCACTAGGTGGCAATGATACAGCTGAATTTCACTGACAAGATTAATTTTAAAAACAGTAAGCAAATCCAGACAGAAATTCCAAGAAGCTTTTTAGCATACATTTTCATTTTAGAAAAATGAAAAATTATTTTATATACAATTTAATTTATAGCAGAATGTGTAATTATCTGATTCACTCTTAACTTCTGACGCTGTTTTCCTTGGTGCACTGAGGCAATTCATGCAACAAACAACTTTTAAACAGTTCTCATCACAGAGAAGTCTTTTTAAAAAATCTGGACATATATAATGAAGATAACAGAAATTATGGAAAGCTAAAAATCTTTTTAAGTTTTAGAATTCTAAGAAAGGCACTATAAAATGCAAAGTATTTCAATGAAAAAGTTAAACTTTTAAAAAATGACTGATAAAGAATTTTTTTTAATTTAGGGCCAAAACATGAAATAATATGGAGACACTTTGCTTTTAAATTACAAATTAAACTAACATTCACATAGGTAAAGACTTTTCAATGTCTTGAGTAAACAGTAAGTTTACTAAGCAAATTTATAAAAATTCTGACTTGAACTCTAGAAGAATACATTTTTATAAGTGTCAAAATAATAAATGATGAAATACCTAGACAACAACACTTTCCATAATTACTTCTGCTTTCTTCATAAAACAGGTCACAACCTATGGCTTATTTAAAATAATAAAAACTATTCATTTCTCCTTTTCACATCAAATAAAAGGGAAGATATGACAAACTTTTTCAAATTATAGACATTTTCAAACACACAGTAAAAAAAAACACAAAACTTTCAAATTCCCAAGACATTCCCCCACATGTAAGGGGGTGGCTCATATCACCACATGTAGCATCACAAAATCTGTACTATAATTAGATGAATAAATAATAAACCTATACTGTTAACCAATTCATAATATAATAAAAAGACCCAATTAAAACAAGCCTATTTATTCCCTTTGTATAAATAACCTAAAGTTCCCAAAATTTTCAACTCCAATTTTTCTAAAATAGATCAGAATATCTCATTATAGATCAGCTTTCCAATAGTTTTCTAATTTAGCAACCACTTCCTATATTATATTTACTTCATTTCCAGAAAAATCTCTCCCTCTTCCCACCCAAATATAAGAGAATAGATGAATGATTTCTTTTTATAATTCATAGGTCACTGTTTCCTCCTCATGATTGGGCTTCACTTTGAATTATTATAGATCACCCTGAAATCTAACAATATACATATTTCTCATTCCATCACCGTATACAGATATACAAAATGGATAGCCTTTTAAGATGGTTAGCACAAGAAAAGTTTACTGTGGCAGCCCTCACAAATCAAACAACAGAATTCAGGAAAGTGCTCAATCTGCTCACTGTAATCTGTAACTTCTGCTAGAAAATTTAGGGAATACCAGTGTAATGGAAGGGATAATTATAGATCTACAAAAGCGAATTCACGTGTACATGAAATTATATCTATATAGAATCAGCTTCCAATTATGTGTACAAATAAAAGGACAAGAGAAAGATGATGCAAAACACATAATCCTCAAACCACTATAGATACATGTTTGTATCTGTATTTCACAGGACTGTCTGAGAATTTAGCATACCAAGAAAATTAAGCCATATTGCAAAGAGGTTAAGAGGACAAACACAAATACCAAAACGATAACATTGAATTGCCATTATTGACTCGAGTTTGTCATCTTCTGTTTATTTCTGATGGTGGCTCGAAGTTTACGTATCACCAGTCTATCAGGCAGAATCATATCACCTTGTTGTTCTAGATAATCCAATAAATTTTCAGTCCATTGGAGAGCAGCTGCATGATTAATATGTTTCTCTGGAATCAGTTCTATTTCCTCCTCCTCATTTTCACTGGATTCATCTGTCTGGCCTTGTGCTCTTCTGATGATTTCACTGTCAGTTAACACTTCATAACCTGGTTCAGTACTGTCCACTTCAAGCCATTTTTCAATAGTCTCAGTAGTCACATTTTCCAGTCCTTTCGTGTGTTGTAAAATGGTGGCCACAGTAGCCACTGAAATATCTTCTTCATCAAAGTCCGAGCCTTCTTTCTCCTCTACAGTAGGGAGAATTTTCTTCCATGCTCTGCTAATGGTAACTGGCTTTACTAAATTCCATGCCATTGCTATTTCATAAAGTGCATCAAGCAGAGTTAGCTTCTTCCAGAATGATTTCAGGTCATTACCTTCTTCCAAGTTGTTCTGGAGAAGACCTGCACGATAGTTTCTCTTCATTGTCGCTATGACTCCCTGATCCGAAGGCTGAATCAATGAAGCAACATTAGGTGGTAAATACTTAGCAAATATTTGGCCATCATCCGACCTCAGGACATTTTCATTTGGATGTGTTGGTGAATTATCCAACAAGAGCACAGCCTTTTCCTGCAGGCCTTTGGATCTCAAGTACTCTCGAACTTGTGGCACAAAGATCTTATCAAACCACTGTCGGAAAATGGAAAGATCCATCCATGCACCTTTTTGGCTGAAATAAGAGACTGGCAGGTTTGAGGTGTCTGTTGACTTGAAGGAGCGAGGTTTCTTTGCTTTCCCCACAACACAAAGTTTAAGTTTGTGTAAACCTGTTGCATTGGCACAACACATGACAGTGACTCTCTCTTCAACTGACTTGTGCCCAGAGACAGTGCATTTACCTTTGATTACTGAAGTCCTGGAAGGCAGACATTTCCAAAAGAGTCCAGTTTCATCTGCATTGTAGATTTGTTCAGGTTGCAGATTTTCACGTTCAACAAAGTCTCGAAAGTTGTTACAAAAATCTTCCACAGCAGACTCATCTCCATTTAATCTCTCATTTCTAATGTTAATCTCTCTTATGCTGTGCCGCTGCTTAAAACGAGTTAACCAACCAGCAGAGGGGTTAAAATCACCATCCATTCCCAATGCATAAAAGAAGAATTCTGCCCTTTTTGCACAAATTGGTCCAGACACAGGATTCCCTTTTGCTCTTTGCTGGTTGAACCATTCCAGCATTGCTCTGTCCAGTTCCTCATACATGGATGGCTTCATAGATTTCCTCTTTGCCAGGAGACTTGTGGAATCAGAACTGCTGGCATAAGTTATAATCTTTTCCTTATTTTTTCTTATGTCCCGAACTGTGGTCTCACCGATTCCATAAATCACTGCCAGTTGTTTGGAAGAACCTCCGTCTTCCAGTTTCTTTATGATATCAAGCTTGTCTTTAATAGTCAACACCACTCGCTTCCGTTTCCCTGACATGGTGAGGCTCTGGGACTCCGGGACTCCCCCCAACACTCACACTGCAGCAAACCACAAGATCTTCCTTCTCTCACACAGACTCACTTTAACACAGTCTTATACACTCAAGTCTTTCAAGCTTACCAAGAACCTGGTGGCCCTGACCCCGTCCCCGGCTGGGCCTGGCTGGTAAAGAGATGGAAGAGGAGGGAGAGAGGGGAGGAAGTTTGAGAGAACAGGCCTTTAACTTAGAAGAGCAGTAGAGGAGGCCCCAAGTCAGCGCGGATAATCCGGTTTACAAACATTTGTTTTATTCCCCCAGTGGCCGCGAGAAAGACTCTAACCCCATCGTGACCACAAGCCTCCTTCACGCCCAGATCCGGGGTAAACGCCCGTCACTAACCCCTGCCACACCCCAAAGTTACGGCAGAGAGCGGAAGAGCCAGGGAGTCGGGGACTGGTCCCCTTCCCCAGGGGGACGGTTACGTTTGATCCCTTCCCCTGCAGCCAGCCTGCCCCCGCAAACCCCACTTCCCCGCGCCGGGCTGAGCCTGCACAGTCCCCCGGCCCCTCGCAGCCCGCCGGGCCCCTCTCCCCACCTCAGCTGGAAACGGGACCCCGTACCGCTCCCTGCCTAACGCTCGGCGACCGCTCCGCCCCCGGCACACGCTCCCGGAAGATGCCCCCTCCCGCCGCCAGGCCCCGCCCATGGCCCCGCCCAGAGGCGGGACTTCCCCTGGTCCCCGGAAAGAGGAGTGTCGCTGGCCTGGAGCGGGAGCCCGGGGCGGAGGCGAAGGCGGAGGCAGGAGCAGAGGAGCTTTGAAAGGTGAGCGCGCGGGGGCGGCGCGGGGCCAGCCCGGGGCCAGCCCGGGGCGGGGACTCGCTCTCGCTCCGGCTGCTAGTGGTTTGTTGGCGGGGCGGGGGGAAGCCGCGCCTCTCGGGCGGGGAGAAAGATTCCCGCGGGCGCCCTCGGGCTGGGCGGGGCGGCTCTCCTGCGCGCTTTTCTCCACTCGCGGGCCGCCCGGCCTGGGCGGGTGTCAGTTCCTTCCGCGATAGGGAATGGGGTGGGACTCATGTGAGAAGCTCGAGTGGTGACTTTGCGGGTTTCTGGCCTTTCCAGACCCTTGTTTTCTGAGTGCTGAGCTCGTCTAGATTCTGGGGTTTGTGTCGTCCCGCGCACGTCATCGCGAAGCTGTGTGTAAGGGTCCCGTTGCCTAGCTACCGTGCCCCTCCATCCTGGAGGCAGAGTAGCGAACTGGCAGGCGTGCTGCGTTGCGTACCTGCGTCCGGCCAGAGAGCCAGGTTTGTAATCATGCAAATGACTCTAGTGTTAACTCCGGAAAGGATCTATTCCTTCCTCTGCCACTCCTCCCTGCTGGATTTAGTGAACCACCTTCAGTGTTCCAGATTTTAATGAATGCTAATAGTTGTCCCGGCTGCCAAACTGGCAAGGATCCACTCTATGCAAAATTGTGGAGTATTGATTGTGGACCGAGATGCTAAGTGGGGGAAGCTGGCTTTCCTCTCTTTATATGCTTCTTCTTATTTTTCTATTTCCTATTTCTGTCGTGTTGTGCTACCCTGTTTTCCAGCCAGTGGAAGAACTGTGATAAATTTATTCACAGCGATGTGATAAGAGCTTAAACAGAATTATACACTGTAGCTCTTAAATCATGTGTTATGCTGGCTTGTTTTGGTGTCCTTAGTAATTTCATCAGATTGTGAACTCCTTGGGAGCAGAGACCGTATTGTTGATTTATTCTAGTAACGCCACAGCTCCGAGCATGTGCTGGCACCTAGTATCCATTCAATAACTATGTCCTTGGTTTGTTAAGGGCTCCTCTCCAAACTCATATAAAAGCACACACCAAGGAGGGGTGATGTTTTACAAGTAGGCATGAATCCCTTCTGGTGGAATTTCAAGTAATGGTTGGGGTTCCACTGCCCTTCAAACCTTACAGTGTCAGCTACCACCTACATTGTTGATAGAGCAAGTAAGTGATTCCTAGAATGAATATTTTCTTGAGGATGAATTAACCTCAAAGTCTAGAAGAAAGGATATTTCTTCTGATGAGAAATTCACGTGGCATCATCAAAGTACCTTCTTTTAGATGTAGAGTTACTGTGTGAGAGAAAGCGATATGGATTATCGCCTTTAATTCACATTCTTTGGCAGACAGCACAGCTGTTTATGTGCCTCTTAGGTGATATTAAGCATGAAGCACAAAGATGTGATAGTATTGATCATCTTCATTCACTTATTTAATGCTTTCTGTTTGGAGTCCCTTTGCCTAAAGGTAAGGTATGGTTAAAGAAGCCTGATTAAATTCTCATTTCAAGAAATTGAGTGTGTACTCCACATATATAGGAATTACATCCGTTTGCGTGGATTCTTTTTTTGAGTGAATTGTGGCGACCAAGAGACGTCTTACCCATCAACCGAGTTGAGTTTTACTTTCTCATTTTTCTCCTTAGGTTCAGTTCACTCATCTTTTCCCTCTGTCACCGTTCTTCCCTCCCCAGCTAATGTAGTAACAGTATCCACAATTTAAAAAGAGGAGCCAAGAATATTTATGTTATCTTCTTTTACAATGACAGAATTTTTGACGTTATTGATATAAATGGCAATTAAGAAATGTGAAGAAAGACCTTGGAAATTTGGCAGTTGGCCAAATGTAACTTGATTTATTTAAATAAAATTTGCCTCCTCAAACATTCAGTGCTGCAGTTTTCCAGAATAAATTTTTTCTCATCACACACTGCTCTTTGAAATTTTTACTTTAGGAGTCAGTGGAGAATCCCTTAAATTTTATGATCAATGTCATCAATAAGGTGGTAGAGGCAAGTCTGCAAATTTTCATCTCTTTTGCACATCCTTTTCTTGCCTAGTGGATAAATAATTTCCAGAAGTTTCTGGCCTAACGCATGTGCACTAACATTCAGTTACATAATTTTTTAGAAAGTATGTTTGTAAACTCTAAACTCTTTTAGTGATTACTTTCTGAAACTAAATTTTAGCGTGACTGCGAGATAAAATAATGACTTTTTCAAGGCATAATTTTTACTACTTTGTACAAATATAATATTGGCAGCAGTCATTGTGTAGCACTGGACGGGGGATCAGGAGACCTGGTGTCTACTCCCTGCTCTGTCACTAACAAGCTGTGTGATCTTCGGTAAGTCATTTAAACTCTATGTCCTTGGTTTTGATTTTTGTAAATGAAGATAATATCTTCCTTCTAGGATCATTGTCAGGATTTTAAAATAGATATGAAAATGCACTCAAAAATTACTGTACATATGGGATTTTTTATAGCTTAACTGTGTGCAGTCATAGGTATTTTTGTAGTGCGACGTTCTTAATTGTTTCTACCATTGTCATCGGAATCACCTATTGATATGATAAATAACTGTCTTTTGAGCAAGGTACAGTTCTGTAAGGTAATTATCTAGTGTATATGAAACTGCTTTTGCTTACTAATAAACTCATCTTTCACTTTAATTTTCCTACTGTCCATATTTGCTTTAGTGTGTTTACTGAAGCGTATTTGTCATTTGTTTTCATAAATGTTTTTTCATTATTTCTCCGAATTCAGACAGATTTATTACAAAGGCTTACCTTCTTATTACAGTGTAATGCACATACATAGTTTATGCAAATTTATCTATATTTGCTTAAAAAAATACTTCTGTGTACTATATGGCTTCAAAATATAAGCTGCCTAGTTGATCTGGTGCTTTTTTTTTTTTTTTTCAAAAAAAGCCAGTAATCTGTTTTAAACCTGGAGAAGAAACTGGGTAGACATACTGTGAAGCAGTATGATATACAAAAAAACCCCATACTTTTGAAAGTAATATGGAGATTTTTAAAAACGGTAATTTTGACCTGACCACACACAGTTTTCATCTTTGCTGATTTTAATATAAGCTTTTCGTAATATGCAACTCAAGTGTAATTTCAAGTAGCAGAATATTTGGTCTATTGACTAGAATTTATTAGATCGCTATTACAATGCTGACTATATGTTGCAGCAGTCACTGTCATAAGGTCATACTTCAGCCTACACTATAAAGTTAATTTCTGGTGTATACTCTTAGCAACCATTGTTGTTCTGATTTCATATGAGGTATTACCATTATAGAAACAGTCACAGAGCCCTATAAACAACAAAATTTGTACAATCAGTGAATGGTGCGTACTCCTCCCCCAAATAAAATAATCATCTTGGGAATTACAAACTTGGTTCAGAAGTTCTGCCATTGCTTAAAAAATTTTTGGTGTTCTATTTTTGGAATTACTTTCAGAGTTTGCAGCACATTTTAAAAATATTTTTAATGGTAGTTAATCTTTGTCTTTTGAAATTGGATTTTGTTTCTGGAAGCTGCTGACAGTGCTTAATAACTGAGACAAGTGAATAAAGTAGATATTTACTCTTTGGGATAAAAAAATTTGAAATGTAATTATTTTCATATTTTTGTGTATTTTTTGATAGTGTGGCTTACAGAAGATCTCTGGGAATATTCTGGGCCATGGTAAAAATATTGGAATAATCAGCCTCATGAGGTGATTTCTTTGAAGGAGATAACACTCAATTGAATACATAAGCTCTTAGACATGTATTAGGAGGTCAGTCTCATTACATTGTGATCATACTTCTATCCTTAGCAACCAAGACGTACATATGTTTTACTGTTTTCCTAGTTATCTTACTTGTCTCTAATTGTTCCTTTACTTTATACTTGTGATGATTTTAACGGAGTTCACCCTTTTGTCAATTGAAAACCTAGCACATTTGTTTTCCTTCCCAATATCATGCTCTGCTTCACCCTGAAACTTTGTTTTTTCACCTATTATTGGATTGCCAGTAAGTTTTCTGTTGGATTATATTGTAACTTTAACTCTGAGTAGTTTAAAGCCATTGCCATTTTACTAAAGTATACAGAAGCTGCAATCTTAATGGATTCGTTCTGTCAGTTTTGCACTGCTCTCTTTTTGTGTCAATTACTACTTTATAACTTTCTTCATATAAACTAATTGATGCTTTACGTTAAAATTCATGTCATTGCTCTGTTCAGAATCCTTCTTTGCTAACAGGATGAATCATTCTGGTAATTCCACCCTATTTCTCTATACTCGTCTGTTTTTTTCCAGCATAAGGCCTCTTTTCACACTTTTTTGGTCACGTTTACCTAGCGTATTCTTTCTCGGTGCCAAAGTTTTGACCTTACCATTTTTACCTGCCTGAAATTTCTTTTTCTTTCATTCTTTCTGTTCAAATATAATCAATCCTTCAGAATCCTAACAGATCATATCTGTTCAATAGAATCTTCAGCGAAGCACTTGTCCTCCTGATCCTCTTGCATCTTTACACTTTTATCACAGTTATTTTTATCACTCATTTGGTACTAAATGAAGACTGCCTTGCATTTTTCTTATGTGTTTGTATGTTTTAATTCTACACATGGATGATAACCTTCTGAAGAACAGGACCATGATTTTTTATGTATTCCTTTCAGCACAACATACAGCATCATTCAGAATAGATGGTCATGTAATTATTTCATAGATGTTCAATAAATTATTTGTTGAATAACTGTTCTCCCATCTTCACTCAGATATTTCATGTGATTTTACCTTTGTGACCCATTTTATAATACCAAATAAATATAATTCGTGCCATAAATGCATTCATTGTTGTAATCTGGTTATCATGATTATATTCCTAATAACTTTATTTTGTAGAGGCTTAAGTGAAAATGATACATGTCAGAAGACGTGAAACAAGGAAAAATTCTAGAACTCAAGAGCATGAGCAGAAATCTCGAGTTGATTGGAGGCGGACTAAAAGAAATAGTCTTTCACAATTATTTGATAGTGATGAAGAATTCGATAGTGATGAAGAACTTGATAGTGATGAAGACCTGGATAGTGATGAAGAGCCAGATAGTGATGAAAGTGTTGACAATCATGTAAGTGTTGACAATGATGAAGAGCTTGATAGTAACAGGGGGCTCGATAGTAATAAAAAGCCAGAAAATGAAAGAGAGCTTAAATTAATTGAAGTTGAAAGTGAAAGAAACAGCTGTGAGCATCTCATTAACACTGGCAACAGTTCAACATATGAAGAAGAAAAGAACAAAAGCAAACCTAGAAGTATTGACTTACCAGAGCATGAAAAGCATTCAGGTCAAGAGGAGGAGGATCTCAACAAACACACTGGACAAATAATAGAGGAGGATTTAGAAGAAGAACACGTTAGGCGAGGGAAGAGAAAAAGGACCTCCTCTGTGATGTATGACAGTGATGACAGTGATGACAGTGATATCCTAGCTGCAAAAGTAGGTGTTAAACGTCCACGGAGAGTGGTTGAAGATGAATGTTCTTCAGTGGAGATGGAGCAAAAAGACCCTGAGAAAACTTTAGCTGCAAGAAAGCGACAACAACTCCAGAAGCTGAAAGAACTCTCAAAACAAAGATCTCGTCAGAGACGCAATAGTAGTAGAGATTTTGAGGTGTGTTATATTTTATTGGTTTTGTTACTGTTTTTTAAAATTTTTACTTAAAATGTTTAATTTTTATAAAAATCAAAGTGCTGAGTCTGTTCTATTCCTCAGTAATTCTAGAATTTATTTTTTAATCAAGTATCCTTGAACATGTTTGATCACACTATTGTACCTAATATATTGTTTTATCATGAGTCTCAGTCTATCATTCTTTTTTAAAATTGAAAGACTTTTTGTTTTGTATGGTCTTTCCTGTTTTTAACTTTTACTCGTAATCTTAATGTCCATGTTAAGCATTTTACATAACTTATCAAGGTATATTATCTTTTTCCTAATTTCAGAAGTTCAGCATTTAACATGCCAAGATTTTTTTAACCTTAAAATATGAAATTAGTTTCTATGGATTATTTTTTTGGTGTCAGATTTAATCCTTTAATTTCACATCCATACGGATAATTTTAAAGGTATAAATTACTGAAGGATGTGTTTCAATTTAATTAGGACTCTGAAAAGGAATCCTGCCCAAGCAATGATGAAAATGATGAGGAGGAGGAGGAGGAGGCGGAGGAGGATTGTGAATCTGATGAAGATGGAGATGATTATGTTATTGATGACTTCGTAGTGCAAGATGAGGAGGGTGATGAAGAGAATAAAAGCCAGCAAGGAGAAAAATTGACTACATCACAACTGAAATTAGTAAAACAGAATTCTCTTTGTAAGTTAAATATTTAGAAAATGTTTTATGACTTGTTCTAATCATGATATTATATCAAGAATCAAATCAGCCTTTTACTATCATATTCTAAATCATTGATTAGCAACTATGGTTTCATTTTCAGGTAACTTTAATTTGTCAATCTGGTAATAGTTTATTTTGGTCGTTTCAGGAACACTTTATACTTTTAAAAATTATTGGAGGACCTCAAAGAGTTTTTGCTTCTGTGACTTATAGGTATAATATTTACTGTTGTAGAAATACAAAACAGAGAAATTTAAAATATTTATTATTTATTATATTTATTAATTGACTTAAAATAACATTAAACTCATTACATGTTAACATACGTAACATTTTTATGAAAAATAACTATATTTTCCCCCCAAATGAGAAGAATGATGTTGTTTTACATTTTAAGATATTTAATGTCTAGCTTAACAGAAGACAGCTGAGTTCTTGTATATGCTTTTACATTCAGTGTTTTGTGATGTTTTGGTTCAAGTAGATGAAAACAATTTTGCTTCACACAGATAGGTAGCTGGTAAAAGGAGGAGTGTTTTTAAAGTGTTTTCAAAATAATCATAGATATTCTCATTTGACACTACACCAAAATTCAACAAGTGATAGTTTCCTAAAGGTTAGTTGCAATTTGGAATCTGAAACCATATACATGAACTTTTAGTACTTACTTACATTACAATCTATTGATCTGTTTTGCAGTTTGAATGGATCTTTTTCCCATGTATGATTTTTGTAGCATCATGCGTTGGTCATTTGGAAAATATTGGTTCACTGGGTTATGCAGACCTTCCCAATGTCCACACATTTCATTATACAACATTTAAAGCATCACACTTGTTAATACCCCCCAGATCTCATCAGAAAATTCTTTAGGTATGGGGAAGCTGTCAAGCTCGCAGTAGCAGATACAAGTTTTTCAGAATTCTAATTTCTACTTATAAATATGTTTTTTATTTTTGGCAGCAAATACGAGGAGTTGTTCTTCAAATGACAGGTTCCCTTTGTTTTTTTTTCTTAGAGAAAATATTTGATAAATGCCATAATTTGTTAGTTTTTCTTTCAAATAAATATAGTGTTGCATGACAAATGAGGCTTTTTTAGCTCCCAACTAAGTTTTTCTTCGAAGTATGATCCATAATACTTTGGTATACAGTGTAAGTGCTTTGTGTATACTTCCCATTTCATCCCATTGAATACTAAAAGGATGTATACTCAAGATTCAAGATTTAATGAAATTAGGGGCTGGCCTAGTGGCATAGCAGTTAGGTTTGCCTGCTCTGCTTCAGCGGCCCAGTGTTCACCAGTTCAGATCCTGGGCGCGGACCTATACACTACTTATCAAGCTGTGCTGTGGCAGTGTCCCACATACAAAGTAGAGGAAAATGGGCACAGATATTAACTCAGGGGTAATCTTCCTGGAAAAAAAAAAAAGATTTAATGAGATTAATATTTTTTACTACTTCCTCAGGGACATTCTTGTGAAAGTAGTTTTTTTTACTGAGTGCATATAGCAAAGATGACTACAGTGCTTACTAGCAATTTGCTGCTCTTGCCATGATTCATGTTAGGGGGCTAGCTGCCTTACCCATAGTTACTTTTACAACATCAGTGAAAATAGCAACACAGTGAAAACAGCTAATCCTTATCTTAGTGTTATTACTTTGACCCCACAGATCCCCTTAAATGGGCTTGGGGATTTCCAGGGGTGTACAAATCACACGTTGAGAACCACTGGTTTTATCAGGCCTAGTGAAGCTTTACTCAGTGAAACATATCAGAACTAGGAAATTAGAGTCTTTTATGTTTTCATAAAGTTAAAATGAAAATATAATAGGACCCTAAAAATTTAGGGCTATCTTTCAATATGTATTATTATTCTGATTTCTATAGTTATACATAAATTCAAAAACTGTTTTATGATGTTTTAGAACTCTAATAGAAACAAGCTGTTGGAGATATATTTTCTTCAAAGAATGCATTCTTTCCAAAATTTTTTTAAAAGAGCATATTTACTAAAATTAAGTGTAATGTAGTTCAATTTAGATCTTATGATTTATAATAAAATAGTAGATTAAGGTACGAATCAAATTTTAAGAAATTCATCAGTTATAGTATGCCAATGACAGGCATCTATACATGGAAAGTTAATGACTGTTTTCCTTGTATCAATAGGCACTAGTTCACCTGCCACCTGGACATTTGAATCTCAGGGAAACTCAATTAACAGGTGTCCCATCATTCTGTATTATAATATCTAGAATGTGATAGAACATTTGCTGAGAGATACCCACTCATACCCACTCCTGCTGATTAATGAAAATAAATGTCCAGCATGTGGGAACTAATGTTAACTTCCTTCTCTTTCCTACACCTCTATGCTTGCTTTTTTTTTTTAAATTAAAGATTGGCACCTGAGCTAACATCTGTTGCCAATCTTCTTTTTTTCTTCTTCTTCTTCTCCCCAAAGCCCCCCAGTACGTAGTTGTATGTTCTAGTTGTGAGTGCCTATGGTTGTGCTGTTTGGAACGCCGCCTCACCATGGCCTGATGAGCAGTGCCATGTCCACGCCCAGGATGCAAACGAGCGAAACCCTGGGCCGCCTAAGCGGAGCACGCGAACTTAACCACTGGGCCACGGGGCCGGCCCTGCTTTTGTTTTTTTAAGAGCAGTTTTAGATTTATGAAAAAGTTGAGTGAAAGGTACAGAGAGTTCCTATATAACCCCTCGCATACACACACACAGTTTCCCTGTTACTAACATCTTGCATTAGTTGGGTCATCTGGTACAACTGATGAGCCAATATGGACAGATTATTGTTAACTGTAGTTCATAGTTTACCTCAGGGCTCACTCTTTGTGTTGTCCATTCTGTGGGTTTTGACAAATGTATAATGATATGAAGGGCATCCTCCATTACAGTATCATACAGAATAGTTTCACTGTCCTAAAAATCCCTTTTGCTCTGCCAATCCATCCCTCACTCCCTCCCCTGAACCCCTGGTGACCGCTGATCTTTTTAGTATCTCCATAGTTTTGCCTTTGCCAGAATGTTTTATAGTTGGAATCACACAGCATGTAGCCTTTTCAAATTGGCTTCTTTCACTTAATAATATGGTTTAAGTTTCCTCCATGTCTTAATGTGGCATAATAGCTCATTTCTTTTTATTATTGACTAATATTCCGTTATACGAATGTACCACAGTTTGTTTATTCAGTCGCCTGTTAAAGGACATGTCAGTTGCTTCCAAGTTTTGGCAGTTGTGAGTAAAGCTGCTATAAATATTTATGTGCAGGTTTTTATACAGACATAAGTTTTTAACTCATTTGGGTAAATACCAAGGAGCTTTGTGCTTATTTTTACTACTGTGGAGCATCTCCACCTCAGAGGGAGATTTATCTCATTTTTTATGTAATGCATTTTATCTTCTTTGTTCTTAATTGGAACTTCTCCTTCTGGCTGTATCCTTACAAGCTGTCTTTCCTCAACATATAATCATATTCCTCTTTTCTCCCTTGAGTTGGCATGTTCCATTAGCCCTATTCTAAATCTTATCTTTTTGTTCAATTTTCCCAGTAACTCTACAAAGCATTGTACTCAGACTCTTGCACTAATCAATCCAGTGAAATTTCTCTCACTAAAGTTAATAACTTCCTAGTTGCCAAAATGCTCTTCACTTCTTATATTAACCTGGTATTGTTCTGTGCCTTGCTGCCAACCATTGACTACTTTCACTTTCAGAAAATTCTTCTCTTTTTAGCTTCTATGGTACCATTCTTTCTTGCGTTCCCCTTTGTAATGTACATTCCTGTTTTCCCACTTACCATGTAAATATTGATGTTTCTAGAGGTTCCATCCTCTAACTACCTTTGTTTTGCTTGTACTTCAGGCAATCTCTTCCTCATAACTTCAGCCCAATCTAGAGGCAAAAATTCCCCAACTTTTATTTCCAGCAGATTTCTCCAAAGCCTAAGCCTCAATTTTTCATCATCTTATTGAACATTTTCATCAGTGTCTTTCAGACACCCAGTATGTGCAAAACTAAATGACTGAGAGGTAGCAAAAGAGAGTTTAGGCTGATGGTAGAACTCTTGTTTTTTTGGTTGTAGTAGTGGTTATACAACTTGATGCATTAGTCATAGAACTATACACCAAAAAAAGTACATTTTATGGTATATAAAAGAGTAAAGCTCAATAAAGTAAGCCAAGTGGGCATCCCCACTTCTAAAAAATCTCTTAAATGGTTAATCAGTTTTGCTTCTCTTTGTATTCCTAATACCCATCAGAGTTGGTGACATGTTATAGGAACTCATAGTTGGATGAATGGATGGACGGATGGATGATTAAGATAAGCATATTGGCTGAAGGCTCCTGGGTCTTATAGTTCAAGACAGAGAAATGTTAGGTGTAACCAGATTTCTTAAAGCATCAAAGGAAAAAAAAAATCCATATTTTGGAGTGATAACTTTGACTTGCTTAATGTTTTTAATACTTATCAATGTTTATGCCTGTTATGAATATAATAAAATTAAATATAGGCAGTTTTTGATTTGCCAAGGGATTATGTTCTAAAACTTGCTAGAAGTTAATTCTTACATTTGAAAATCAAAATATGTTTTCTCATCAAAGCAGTAACTTATATGATGAATAATGAACAGCACTCTGTGGCCTGGGTTAAGTGGTAATTAGGCTACTATTCCCAGATTCATTCTCTCCCTTGCTTCTATGAGAATACTGACAACTACTCATATTCAACATATGATCAAAATTTGGGAGAAACATTTCCTAACTCCATATTCAGTACTCAATTGAGAATCACAATCAATGGCCTATGCAGTTTTACCTTTTGGAAGAGAACAGTTCTACCTATAGGAAGACGTTTTGTGACTTCCTCAGTATCTGCAATTTGGCTCTGAGAGATGCAACTGTAACACCTCAAAATAGTATAGTTTCCCCTTCTCCTACGTGGTTTCAGCACTTGAAGACAATCGTAGTCTTTTCCCCTTCTCATCAAACCCTAATAGTATTTTTCTGTATTTACTCTGAGACTGCAACTCTTAGAAGAGATATGATAGAGTAGAGGGATAGACTAGCAGTGGTCCATTGTATTCCAGACCTGTAGTGTTCATATGCTAAAAATATTACACACAGGTAAAGAGATAGGAATAACCTTCAGATTTGTGGCTACTGAAGATTATATTACTTTTTCAGTCCTCTATCATATGATCAGAGTGACAAAATACCAAGTAGTAGATAGAAGAGTACATCTCAGTCTACTAGTACGTTGCTGGATAAATACTTGCTAGAATACTGGAAATCAGACTAAGAGTGAACATTAACTTAGTCTCCACCTAGCAATTAAAAATCGTTCTGTCAACACAATGCAAAGTTAGCCTAAGAACAATCTCACAACCATCTATGTTAAATATTAAATTCTAGAACTTTCCCTCTTGTTCTAGGATAAGTAAAAAGTACCAGTGAAATCATATTGTGGAACAAAGGAAAGGTAATATTTCCCTGAATACTAAGAGGAAGAAAATGCCTGTGAAAAATGTTTCATTACAGAAAACAGAAGAACATTGTATAAAGCATTTACTTTGTGATCTGTGAAAAAGAAATAGGACATCATAAGGAGAGAACAATTTGAGGTCAAAGGGAGCTAGGTAAGATAAATTACCAGAAAATTAAAAATGTAAAATCAGAAATAAAATCTATATTGAAAGCAGTAAAAAGCAAAAGTAACTACAGAATATCTCACCAGTGATATATAGGTTAAACTCAAGAAGTTCGTCTAGCATAGAGAAGAAAAAGAAGACAGTTCTGAGGGAGAAGACAGTACATGAAAGAATAGGAATGAAGCCTCTATTTCACAAATTCCTGGGGGGAAAGTACAGAACAAGTGGAAGTCTAAAGAAGAAAATAATAGCTTTAGCAAGATATGTAAAAGGAGATTTGAATGTACTAAGAGGCATACCATGTTTTTGGATGGAAAGCCATATGGAGATATGAATTCAAAGGTGTGATAGAAGAAGGTATTCTTGAGTTGCCAAACACACCCATTCATGCAGATTAAAGAGACTCACATCCTAATAAGTTGATGAAAACAGATTTGCAAAGAGACATGAAGGAAATATTTTTCTAACTGCAAGAATAAAGAAAAAGTTATCTCACCATTCTTTTCAGAACTATAAAAATGCTTTAAACATAGGTGCCATGTTAACGTGTCACATTAGTATGTCAAAAGAGAAAAAAATCGTAATTTCAACAGATTCTAAAAAGTCATGATAAAATTGAATGCCCATATCCAGTTTTTTAAAAAGTCTTAACAACAGTAATGTGAGCATATGTTCCTTACGTAGCAAAGAATATTTTAAACCAAGTCAACATCATACTAATAATGAAGCACTAGAGATATTCTCTTTAAAATAAAGAACAAGACAAAAATATTTCTTACAACTTTGTTCTAGATCTTTTGAGCAATGTAATAAGACATGAAAATAAAACAAGAAATAGAACTATGGAAAAGAAAAAGACGTTTATTATGTGAACATAATATGATTATATATATATAAGCTGTAAGTTTCTGACTTATTTAAGCAAGGATACAGAGTTAAGAGAAAGGATATGAATACATTGAGAGCAGGAGTAGATGTGGCATTTATTTCCATAGTTTTCTCATGTTCTTCTTTCCTTATGTTGGGCCGGGAGGAGGGGGGAACCTGTCAGAGTAGAAAAAGAAGCCAATTTCTCACTTTGCCTCTGCCCTCTTACACTGGGCTTATACCTCCATTCCAGAAGAAAATACACCAACAATCTTTGTGTGTCTACCTAAGAGAATATCTATAAATATTCTCTTGGCTCTTGAAATAAGCTTAGCACTAGCAAGACCACATCCTCCTTGGGTTTGGGGGAGAAGGCAGAGTCAATGCTCACAAATTCCTGAACAGTATATCTCTTTCCAGCTCTGTAATGTCCCAGGAAGCTCATTTTCCACAAATAGCTAAGACATTCTGACTATTTTGGAATTATTAAAAGATCTCAGAATAAAGACCAGATTCATAATAAATATGTAAAAACTCAACAGTTTTCTTGTATACTATCAGTAAGTATTTAGAAGATATAATGATAAATTCCATTTACACTAGCAAACAAAATAAAGTTCCTAGGCCTAATCTTAAGAAGAAAAACATGGCTGTATAGGTAGAAGAAAACATGAATGAAAGGAGAGACACAGCATGTTTCTGGAAGGTAATAGTACAAGAAGTTATTCTAAAATTAATGGGTTTTTTTTTTAAAGATTTTATTTTTCCTTTCTCTCCCCAAAGCCCCTGGTACATAGTTCTTATTTTTAGTTGTGGGTCCTTCTAGTTGTGATATGTGGGATGCCGCCTCAGCGTGGCTTGATGAGCAGTGCCATGTCCGCGCCCAGGATCTGAACTGGCAAAACCCTGGGCTGCTGAAGCAGGGCATGCAAACTTAACACTCAGCCGTGGGGCCCGCCCCTGAAATTGATGTTTTGATTCAACTTTGCAAAACAATCCTCAAGTTCACTTGGAAGAACAAACATATGAGAATAAATAAAATTTGAAAATAAAGAGTAAATCAGAAGGAGTGGCTCCACCAGATATAAAAAGTTATCATAAAATTGCAATAAGTAAAGCAGTATAGTACTGGCATGGGAATGACAGACAGGTGAATAGGGTAAACAGTGCTGAAACAAAATCTTAGCATATATGTGAAATTAATATATGCTAAAGCATGTACAGAAAATCAATAGAATGCCTAGCCTATCCAGTGATTGAGTGTGGGGGTAACTACTTTAGAAAAATCAAATTATTCATAAATACAAATATCAACAATATATTTCTCCTGTATCCTTTTGTAATTTTTTTTTATAATCATGGGGGAATGTTTTAAACAAATTCCCAGGATAGTCCACAGGAGCCCATCTAATATAGGGATTAAAGCACTGAAAAAAAGCTCTGGAGGAAATCTGAGCTGTAATCCTGATTCTACCTCTGTCTAGTTGTATGACCCTGTGTAAGTTATTTCACCGTTGTGTCATATGTCTTAATTTTAAGATGAGAGATTTGAATTTTACTTTCTCCAATTTCCAATCCAAGTCTAAAAGTCCGTATTCTGAAGTATAATTGTATCAAATCTAACTACCATGCTGAACAACATCTACCTAATGGATGGTAGAATGAAACCTGGAGTCAGACTGCCTGGGTTCCAGCCTTGTTCCAACACTTACTAGCTGTGTGATCTTAGGGAAGTTTTTCATCCTTTCCATGTCTGTTTACTCAACTAAAAATAAACTGAGGGTAATGATAGTACCTCATAGGCTTGTTGTGAGAAATAAAGCAATGCATGTAAATGCGTAAAACAATGCCTACCATATACTTGCTCAATAATTTTTTTCAAGTTGAGATGCCAGGAGCATAAATCCATCACCACCCACCTGTGCAGTCAAACACAATGAAATCGAGGCCACCTTCTCACTCTTTTGAAGGACATTCTGATGCATATTGGTAGGAGAGGGATACTGTGGTTAGGACAAAAACTGATCACCTCAGTACTTCAATAATGTGTTTCCTTAAAAAAGAATACATGCTGGGGCTGGCCCCGTGGCCGAGTGGTTAAGTTCGCGCGCTCCGCTGCAGGCGGCCCAGTGTTTCGTTGGTTCGAGTCCTGGGCGCGGACATGGCGCTGCTCATCGGACCACGCTGGGGCGGCGTCCCGCATGCCACGGCTGGAGGGACCCACAACGAAGAATATACAGCTATGTACTGGGGGGCTTTGGGGAGAAAAAGGAAAAAATAAAATCTTTAAAAAAAAAAAAAAAAAAAGAATACATGCTGAAAATTTCTCCTAAAGTCTAAAAAAGAGCTATATAGCCCTTTTAGTAACTAAAATATAAGTAAAAAGCTTTCTCCTTGTTAAATCTCATCTTTGTTTTATTTCAACTGAAAGCGAAGTCAGAATTCACTCATGGGTGCTAATAATAGGCCTTATTTTGCTTTAATCCCTTGCCAGGCATCTTCCGCTTTTCCTGAAATACTCAGGCTGCCTTTAATATGTTTCCACAAGTTCCCAGAGCAAGGCAAATGTTCTGTGATGACGTTTGGATCTAGGAAGAGATCGTGTTTGGTAGAGAACATTTCCACAGCCATAGTAAACCTTGACCCAAGAGCAGTGGGAAATAGTAGGGACCTTCTCTCTTATCGTTCGTTGCCTGGCCCGTCACAACAGATGGTTCTGTGGACCAGACTGGATTAGTAGAAAAGTAGGCTTATATATTTAGTATGAGAAAGAGAAGGCCTAACTTTTCTAAATTGATGTGGAAAATCCTAAATCTAGGGCAGCAGAAAGAGAGATGGAGTTTTTAGAACCATTGGGTTTCTGGCTAGGGTGGCAGTTTCCCAGATAATTTTCTATGTGACGTGTTTCAGACAGGAGTTTCATGTATATGTTGCACAATCTACCTTTAGAGGTTTCTCTCTTGCTCTCTCACTCTGTCAAGTTGGTGATTAAACTTAGGTGCACAGGGGATGATTTTGTGGGTTTTTTTTTCAGAACATATCTTTTGATATTCCCTGAATAGTTTTCCCTCAATAAGTTTGGAAAATGAAGATTACTTGAAATAATGACTGGAAACATTGGATTAGAAGCCATAAATCTGGAAAATGGAGATTTGCTCAGTGACTAGACAAGTCAATGGGGCAGCTATAAAATTAGGATAACTTAGCTATTTCTCCTATTTATAGTATTAATTTCTTAGCCTTGAAGAAAGGAACCTATTGTAGTCAGGGAATTGTTTTGTCTACTACATCCTAATATTTATTTAAAATTTCAGATTCTTTTAGTGACCACTATACTCACTTTGAAAGAGTTGTGAAGGCTCTTCTGATCAATGCTTTAGATGAATCTTTTCTGGGAACATTGTATGGTAAGTTAATAATATTAATGGAACAATTAGGGTTTTTTTCTTTTTCCAGTTTTTAAACAATCTTGCTGTTATGTATGTATATATATTAAACAAGACTAAGGAGACCCATGCTTAAGGCCTTCCAGTTGTTCCCTCTGGTATCAACTACACCAGAAATCCATTCACATCAAAAACTGTTTAGTGTTTATTATTTGTGATATGTGGAAGGAACAAAAGAAATATGTGATGGTTCCCTGCCCTTAGAAAGTTCACAGTGAATTTGAGGATATAGGACATAAACTTATAGAACAGCACTGTAGTTCAGCTGTTGTCCATGTGTTGTGCCAGCCGCTCTAAGCATCTTGAATGTCACCAAAAGTTATATGCTGTTTTATGCTTTTGGGCTTTTGCTCATTCTCTCCCTTCTTAGAGTATAATCCCTTTCTACTCAAGCTTTTCCAGATAAGTGTAAAATCATTTCCCCTGTGAAAGCTGTCTATGACCCAGTTGGGTAATATTTGTCACTCCCTCATTTGTGCTGTTACGATCCTGAGTATGGTGGTACTCATGTATATGCACCTTTAATACTGTATTGAAATGTATTTTTGCCTTCCTCCCTTACTAGAGTGTGACAAGAACCATACTTTATATATACACTTGCATATAGCACAGAGTCTGGCACTTAATAAAAACTATAAATATATCTTTTATTGAATATCTTCTTAAGTGCCAAAATGAGATTTCATTCACAATTTATAAAACAGATGTTTATTGAGTGCTACTAAGGGCCAGACGTTATTTGAGGGCTGGGGATGTGTCAATGACATATAAGATGCCTGCTCTCATGTTGCTGAAAGTCTGATGGGAGAGAGAGACAATGAATGAGTGAACAAATATATAACATAATATAATATGATTTCAACTAGTGATTAGTTGTTGAAAAAAAAAATAAAGTATGGTAAGGAGATGGAGACTGATAAAGTCATGTCTATGTTTCATTGGTCAAAGAGGGTTTCTCAAGAGGTGCCTTTGAACAGAAACCTGAATGAAGTAAGGGAGGAAGTAATGCACGGATGCGGCAAAGAGTGCAGCAAGTAGAGAGACCCTTAGGAAAGAGAAAGGTTGATGTGTTCAAGGAACATTAGAAGGCCTGTGTGGCTCTTTTCTTTCCCCAATGCTCTCATCAAATGATTTATTTTTTTTACTTCATTAAATTTTTTTTTTAATTTAAAATGCTTCTAACCAGTCAACCAAGTATCTTTCTAAAACTATGGGAAGAAATTCTTAAGTATTCAACTGTTTAAATATTTTAAGGCAAAATGGTTTATTGTTGTTCCCCTGAACAGATGGCACCAGGCAAAAATCGTATGCACAAGATATGTTGACATCTCTTCATTATTTGGATAACCGCTTTGTTCAGCCTCGTCTAGAGAGTTTAGTTTCTAGAAGTCGTTGGAAAGAACAATATAAGGTATACAGTTTTATTTGTTTTTGCATCTCTGTTGGGGGGTGGGAGTGGGAGGCCTCTCAGGATTTCAAGATCTAGTCAGACTGAATAATCCTCTAAATTATTGGCATTTATCTTTGTTAAATAATCAGCTTGTTGTTTCCTGTCTCCCCTAAATGCTATTATTATTTTAAGCTTTCACACTGATTATATCTATCCAACAAATTAGTAGTTCTGAATGATAAATAACTTTAGAACATCTTTAGGGATTAGCCCATCTATTAAAATGAGGAGATTGTCTCACAGGATGTCAACTGTTGTTTCAGAAAAGAGTATTCCATAGTCAAAGAAGTTTGAGAAACAGTGGGTTTAACTTAAAGTGGTTTCCTTGCTGGAGGACTTTTCAAGGAGCATTAATGTATAAATCTTCAAGAGGGGGATGTAGAATGTAATACCTTCCAAATTTGTATTTTATTATGAGGCTCCTTTTCACGGAATACCTATCATCACCTCCTAGGATACTTGATTTCCATGAAACATAATTTGAGGAACACTGGCCTAGATCGTCTTTAACATCCTTCCCCCTTTTAAGATTTTGTAATTCTACCAGTTTGGGGAAGCACGTTTTTAATTTACAAGATTGTGGGATTCCATATTATCCTCTAGATTTCTATTTTTATTTTTTCTAATAGTAGGAGTTGTACTATATGATTTTTGAGGTGTTTTGTTTTCTGCCTACTTCTAACATTCTGTGTTCTAATGACTAGCAAGAGGAAAAATGTCACGACAATAGAAGCTCAAGTTCCTTACAGTCCCTCTAGCACTTAAATCATTAGCTAGTCTACCTCATTTATGTCAGCGATTTCGTTTCATCAAAGACCTGTTGAGCCTTGAATTACATGAAGATAAATTAGCCACAGATGGTTTAGGTATAAGGGACAGTTAATGGGATTAAAGAGTTAGAAGACTTCAATTTGGAAGATGGCTTGAGTTTAGGTCCACCACATGTATCCTTTTTCCTCTTGGTGAGTTTTTAACCTCTTTAAACTACAGTTTCTTCCTCAGATATAGAAACTATTTACCTACTTTAAAGAGAAATATTTACTTTGAAGGTAAAGTGTATAGCATAACTCTTAGAATATGGTATAAATATTGTTTTCTTTAATAGAAATAAAAATAGCATATGTTTATTGATCATTTAATTTTTTTAAGTAATTTACATGCAAAGGAAAGTCTCTTATTTGATCTTCAAAATAACCCCATGAAGAAGGAAGTATTATTTACTCCATTTTAGAGATGAGAAAACCGTGACTCAGAAAATTGTGTAACATCAGGGTACACAGCTGGTAATTAGCTAGGCCAATATTTAACCTAGGGTGTCTCTGACTCCAAAGCCCATACCACTATGCTATGTTATGCTTTACCATACTAGGGTAGGTTATGCTGAATTTGGATACCCCAATGTTGAAATAATAACTATAAGATACCAGAAAGTATTAACTTAAAAGTTGAGACATAGATGATTAAGTACGATCTTAGTCAAGATAGGCCAGGTTATGCTGCAAAAACTAGTGGGACAAGCAAAAAACTAACAAAAATCTCAACAGCTTAACCTAACAAAGGTTATTTTTCACTTTTATGTCCAGAGTGAGTCAACAGAGTGCTCTGCTTATTGCAATCACTCAGGGAACCAAGTTTCGAGAACTTTCATCTCAGCGTGTGCTTCCATAAGTACCACAAAAGCAGGAAGGGAGGGTGGTTAGTCACCTACTCATTCTGAGTATCGGCCTGGAAGTGAGGTGTCATGAAGCGCCCTGAAATATGAGAACTATGAAAGGTAGACAGCAGACAATGTTGTTGCGAATCCTACAATGTAGAAAGAAAACTATCAGTGTATTGGATACTTAATTACTATCAGGCTGGTAGAGAATTTAGCTGTGGATTCCTAACCTGCTAATGTGCTCCTTGTGTGCAGTTCAAATATTGTGGTAATCTGATCTCCATTGCTGATTAAAACAGTAGTATCCAGCACAGGCCTAGAACATAAGCAAAAATACTCAAGCACAGGTAATTTTACAGTTTAATAAAGCTTATTTATGAATGCCAAATATTTGCTCCATTTGCTCATTGCTAACTCAGCTGTTAGACTGTTCATATCAATACTAGACACCTAGGAATCCTAGTTCCAGCTTGTTTATTTTCACAGACTTTAGTAGATAACTATAGAAGGATTAAATTTTTTCTGGATTATTTTGTGGAAAATATGATATAATTCACACAATGGAGACTGAGTGTAATCTTGTTTTTCTCAAATTTTGACTAACCTAAATGAATTCATCTATTTCTTCTATTATCCTGAATTTTTGCTGTTCATTCTTTCCTATTTTTAACTAATTAATACATCATTAACACTAACTAGAGATGAGAGGAGGGAAAAGAAGTAAATTAAAATCTATCTAGAACACTACCTAGTAGTAACTCTTAAGTGTGAGGGATATGAAACTAATTTTTTTCTAATCTGATTTCTTTTCATTTAATAGCCTAAATTATAAATTCATTTTTTACTTAAAACTATCTTGTCAAACACCTTGTATGTGCTCAGTATTAGAGTAAGAAATACCAGTGCATTGTGCTCTTACATCTCCTATTATTGTGATTCCTAGTATTGGTTTTAATTTGGTTAGGTTCTTTTATGCGGTAATTTTTTTTTAATTCTTTAAAGCATCATTACATTTTTTAATCATTTTCAGGAGCGGGTAGAAAATTATTCTAATGTAAGTATCCATCCAAAGAATACAGAAAACTGTTCCTGCCAGGCTTGTGGATTGCATCGCTGCTGTAAATATTCAGTGCATTTATCAGGAAAGTTGTATAACACCAGGACTATGGAAACAGATGATTTCATGTCACATGATAAACAGGTATTTTTTTCCCTCTCATTTTAGTTTTTAGTATTTAGAAATTTTCAGTACATAAACTTGCACAAATAACCCTAAATTATTTTCACAAGAGGAGAAAGCACTAGGAGAAAAGAAAAGAGTACAAGGAAAGAGGGTAAAATTTTGAATGGGAATGTCTGATATAGCAGATTCATTCCTAATTCAGTCAGATATTAAAATCAGTGCATATTCTCTAAAGTATAGATCAGCCAAGTTGAGGGGAGGGGAGAGGGTATAGGATGAAGATGAAAAGGGAGATAACTGGGGCAGGGGAAGCAGAAGTCCCCCTTTGAGTCCAAAGGAGAATTTGACCCAAGAAGAATATGTTCAGACAGATAATCTACCAAATCAATCCCAAGCAAATAATTGAAGATACCTGTTCGTCTTAATATGAGATTTGAAAGAAAACCGTGATTCAACCTAGACTATATCAGAAGCATGTCAGAGTCTAGAACAGTCACCACATGCATAAGGTTCTGTTAATTTTGAATGAATAGACAAAACTGAAGAAAATATTTGAAGAAAAGTATTTGCTAGACAGGAGCAGAACCATACAATGTGAAGACAGAGAAAGTGCAGATGCAGACTACTTCTATTTATTTTTTAAACTTACTTTATAAAAGTTTTGCATTTATAAATGCAAAAATATTGAGGGGCCAGCCCAGTGACCTAGTGGTTGAGTTTGTGTGCTCTGCTTTGGCACCCTGGGATTTGCTGGTTCAGATCCTGGGGGCAGACCTACACACCACTCATCAAGCCATGCTGTGGAGGCCTCCCACATACAAAAAATAGAGGAAGATTGGCACACATGTTAGCTCAAGAACAATCTTCCTCAAGCAAAAAGGGGAGGATTGGCAGCAGATGTTAGCTCAGGGCCAATCTTCCTTACCAAAAGTAAGTAAATAAAAAATATTGAGAGCTTCCTCTGGTAAGTCTGTATATCCATGAGGGCTCTGTGTATGTTTGAGGGGCTAGAGACCCAAAGTTGCCTGTAAGTATTGCCAGTCAATTATTAAGATCGAAATATACTATTTATCTGAATTCTTTCACTTGATTGGCTAGTATGATTCCTCAGTTTTATTGGACAATAATTAACCAGATCCCTCTGAACAATCTGGGTTGCAAGAATCACTTAGAAAGTTTGTATGGGTATAATAAATTCAGAATTATTCTTTAATGTTTTATTTGGCAAGTTACAGAAAACATTTCTTTTTTCAACATAGTCATATGCAAATATCCCCATTGTTTAAAAACTGATCTATCACTTTGTATGAGATAAGATACCTAGAATCCTAATAAAAGTCATTTAATACCTTAAGGATCATATTCTGTTGTATACATCAAAAATATTGCTGTGCAGTCACTGTCTATGCTGTCTGTAGCTAATCCTGGAGAGGGAAGTGAGTTAGAAAACCATTTCTGGAGTTCTGACATTCCTGTAATTGAATAAAGATTCCATATAAAATAGTTCATTCAAATATCTAAAAAATAAAAGAGATCTTGTGAAATAAAAGCAAAGATCATTGATATACCAGCCACACAATGAAAAAACATAAAAACTCACAAATATATTGGAAAATGATTATTCTCTATTTGAAAGCATGCAATTAAAACTACCCTAAGTTGCCAGATGATAGCTCTTAAAGCAGCAAAGTATCTGTAAATCAAATGAGAAAATGCCGTTCTGTCAAGATTACGTTGAAACCAGCAGTTTCAGGCAAAGTAAGATTCCTAGAGAAAGAAGGAGTGTGACGTATCTTTGTAGAACACTGGATAGCTATATAGAGCCATAGTTACAAAGCTATACGTATTCAGTGCCTGTAAGTTTATCCTAGGCAAAGTAACTCAGTAAAAGCAAATGACCTAATCGTAAAGTTCCTTGAAGCATTATTTATATTACAAAAAAAATTGGAAATAATCCAAATAAAATTTTAGAGTAGGGATTTAGTAAGCCACGTATACCATTATTTTGTGATAGAATGTAATAGAACTACTAAAATAATATCTATGAAGGTTATGAAATAATGCTAGGTGAAAGTAAAGTAATAAGCAGTGTATACACTATCCTTGCATCTATGTAAAACTGTGTGTATAGCTGTATGCAAATGTTAAACTAGTTTTGAATATATTAAGATAGTGTGATTGAAATTCTTTAATATTAAACTTTTTCTTTAAAAGGAAGAATCACTTATTAAAATGTATTTTATATCCTACTGAGCTACAGTGTCAGTGCACATATAGAAAGGAACAGGAAGGGAATAGGGAAAGGAAAAAGAAAAGGAGAAAAACCTGTTTTTAATCCGAGGTATTAAAGAGACTGTGCCCACACCCACCCTCAGGTTATTTTGAAAACTAATTCTCTATTTTTTGTTGCTGCTTGTAGTTACATAAAATTCAGACTCCTTGGGGTTAACTAGGGTTCTCTTGTTTTTGAGGCAGATTAGCCCTGAGCTAACATCTGCCGTCAGTCCTGCTTTTTGCTGAGGAAGATTGGCTCTGAGCTAACATCTGTACCCATCTTCCTCTATTTTATACGTGGGCTGCCTGCCACAGCATGGCTTGATAAGCAGTGCGTAGGTCTATACCCAGGATCCAAACCAGCCAACCCCAGGCCACCAAAGTGGAACATGTGAACTTAACCACTATGCCAGCCAACTAGGGTTCTCTTTTAAAGTAAAAATAATACTTTAAAAGAATACACTTAGTGAATTTGTTTAATGATAAAACTTTTCTCCTTACTTACCTGAGATTAGCTTCTTTGAAAGAAAGGACACTGCTGGAAAGTGGAATTAGTGGAAGAGAGTAATTTTAGTTACAGCAGTCTTGGTAGGGTACTGAGGTGAGAGGCCTTGGGCTCCCAGTTTGTGGTGAAGTCTCAGGGCATAGATGGGAAGGAAATCACCTGGAGGAAAGAGAGATGTGAAATCTGAAAGGCATTTGGGAGGACTGACAACAATCTTGAGTTAATTTTCAATTTTGCCCAGACTCCAGGAAATGCTTAAGATCCAATAGGAAGAGGCAGTAATTTTGAGGCAGGTGACAATGAGTAAAATGTGTCCATGCAAAAAACAGGCCAAGAGGAAATAGAATTCCTTGGCTCAGACAGTTGCACCAAATATTTCTAGAGACTTAGGAACAGAGAAACTTCTTCCCATCCTTCCTCTTTCCTTAAGCATCTTTTTTCTTGCTTCTTCATACTTTAACTTCCATAATGAAGGAAGAGTCATCCATAAATGAGGGCCTAGAAAAATACCTCAAAAAGCTACCTGCAGTTAGCCAGATGTTACAAATGTGCATAATGCATCTTTCATTATATTTCCTTGCCTTTGTTTAACTAGTGTTAATTTACACTTCCACATGCTAATCTAATAAATTTTAAATCAGATTCTTTCTCTTGCTTTGCAGTCACCATCTTCTGCTTTAGGAAAATTTGGTGACAGTTTTAGTGTTGTTTCCAGTTATATCTTGGAAATGTAGGATCTCTTCACATTGATAGTTGAGAGGAGTATCCTCAGATTTATCAATTTATAGAGCCGTGTTAACCCTGCACAGTGGATTAGTAATCATTTACATGTCACTTGGCTTATCTGCTTTGAGAACAATCATCACAGAACTTAGCTCTTCTCTATCTCTGGCAAATTTTTAATACTGTCTGTTTTGTTAGAGTGGTGTCCTTAATGTCCAGAAATGCAATTAGATAATTCAGTGTAGTCCCTGCATACATTCCTGGGCACTACTCTGTCAGCATAGATTATTTTATCTGTTTTAGTCTTTATATAAATGGAGTCCTACAGCATAGGCCATGTTTTAGTGTACACATTAATTCATAATGTAGAATAGGCAAAAAACGGATGGGGTGAGAGAAGGAAAGGTCCACTTGCAGTATTACAGTTATTATCTACATTTACTGTCTTCTGTGAAGCCTAGCTAACAATGGTCTAGACTCTTTCATATGAAATATCACATTTTAGGAAAAAAAGAATATTCTAAAAGTAATTTTGGGCTTCTTGACCTACATAAGTGTAAGTAGATACCAAGAGAGTAGCAATTAGAAATGGAAAGAAGTAACTATAATGTTTCATATTTTCAATAGATGTTTTTACTTTAACAGGAAAAAAAATTTAAATAAGGATTCTGAAACACTTTTCCTTCCCTCTTGTCCCAAGTTAAAAATTCTATACAGATAAATTCCTCTTATTTTGTGGAAATATAGAATACAGTGTGGAGGAAATAAGATCACCTTATTCCCCTACTGTATTTTATCCTGAACAGCCATAGGAGACTTCTCCCACGCAATCTACTTTGATGGCAGAAATGGAGAGACACAGGGTACCCCTAGTGGCCACTGCAACTATCTTGATGTCTTTTTACTCAAAGTATGAGGTATTGGCAAGTGAATTGTTAAAATTGACATGACTGGTTTGATGATAATGTTGAAATGGGAAAGATACTTAGAATAAGCAAACACTGTACAATAATACTTGACTATTTCTAATGATCTGAAAAACAGAAAGGTTTTCACAGAACACAAACAGAAATGTGACTATGCTTTCCTTCAGTTTTGGGGAATTTCAAGAAAGGTTGTAAGATGTCCCAAACACCATCTTTACAAGATAATGCATCAAACCTGACTGTTCTGATTATCATATTTAACTTTTATTTTTGTTTTTGCCAATATACTCTTCCATTATTTATTGAACTCATCACCTGTGGGATCCACTGCAGGGTGGCCTCAAAAAACCAATACAATTCATTGTCAGATAGAATACAAGTTTCATAGATCAATCAATATTGTAACTATACCATTTGTACTGAGCTCATGGAAGCATGATCCGTTAGTGAACTTAGGCATAGAGACAAATCCATATGTTAGCAAGAAGTTCGTCTGTTTCCTCAGGTCACTCTGTGAAAATAAGATTGATCATGTTATAGTATTTGGAGCCCTTTCTGATGCATTTTCTACAATGAGTAAAATAACATAGGCACAATTATATTTAATTTGGTCAGTGCAGTGACGCTTTTTTCCTCTTTTATTTATAGGGGTGTATAACAAACTATTCAATCAAAATATTCTTAAGGAGAAATGTTCTGGTTGGTCGATTTTACAAGAAGAGTATTCTTAATCATAGAATCCTACAAGTCCATATAAATGTAGAAATTCAAATTCGTGTAGTTTTCTAACAATAAAATATTAATGTGTTATAATCACATCAGACTCATTAATTAAGGAAACAAATATGACTAAACATAAAGTTATTTTTTACTTTACAAATTTTTTTGGAAAAAAGTATTTAGTAAAAAACTACTAACACTTAGTATTGGTAGGAGAGTTTGTTTCAGTTTTACATGTTGCTATAAGCTGGAAAATTATCGTAATCCTGGCATTTTTAACTCAGTAACTGTATACTTACAATAGCTCATCTGCTTTTCTGGCTGTCAAGTGTGCCCGTCCTTCTGCATTCCAAGCCATTTTTTCTCCTCCTTCCCAAACTTGGTTAACTCTGTGTTTTAAAGACTTAGTTCCAGCATCACCTATTCAAGGACCTTTTTCCTCTCTTGACTGGGTTACTTGTGCCTCCTCTGGGAACTGATAGCATCCAGTGCATGGCATTTGACACATTGTTTTCCAATCATTTGTTTTTCTCCCAAGACTGTAAGCCCCCAAACACAGGTAGGCCATTGTTCACTTACATATCTCAGTGCTTAGCCCAATACTTGAAATATAGCAGGTACTCAGTTTTTGACTAGGTTGTATAAATAAGAGAAGTAAAGGAATCATTGTATAAACATTAAAACATTAATAATGCATTGATTAGATTCTGCTGTTAAAGAAAACCTGAAAACCAGAAAGGCTGTGTATTACTATATTATTTCCTTCCTATGTCAGAATAATGTTTCTTTCTTGATTTAGGTGTTCACTGTTGGCAGAATTTGTGCTAATCGTACCAAAGTTTATCATCAACTGAGACATTTCAAATTCAAGCTGTACCAAGAATGTTGCTCCATTGCAAAGACAGAAGTAGTTGAGGATGAACAGGTTAAAGAAACAGTGGAAAGAATTTTTAATCAGTCAAAAGAAAGTGGCTGGATTAAAGAGGTAAGCTGAATACAAAAGAGCCGTTTCATCCAGTAGATTCTGGAGCCTAGTTATGATCAGCAAAAGGATACAAATGATTAGAGGACAGTGAAATTTAGAAAAGAATCTCTCCTCCTCGCCCGGTCTTTGTATTTTCTCTTCTTCCACCCATTCCTTTCATGCTTGTCATTGTCCTACCCTGAAGAAGTGTCCTGATCTAAGCTTCACTCCGCTCATCAGGTAAATTTTAATCGCGATGATCCTGTCCCTTAATGAAAGGCCTCTGTCCTTTCGCTTTTATATATGTAGTGTTCTTTACCTATAGATTAAGTGCCCTTATTTTCTTTGACAAGGTATAGGACTCACCTCTGCTTGTCTGCTTCCTATTCTTTAGAACAGTTCTTGTGACCTGAGAGTGAAGAAGCACCTGGTGCCAATCTGAGGAAAGGATCTCGGCTGCCAGTTCTAATCCCACCCACATCCTCTTCTTGAGGACATGGGACTGAGCAGTGAGCACTGTAACTGAAGATCCAGGGGAGCGCAGAGGTTTCGGGCCACGGCACTGATTTTGATTCCCCCGTATCCTGTTGATTACTAAATTTGCTATCAGGGATAAAGTGGGGGTTTTGAAGAGTGCACTGGGTTCCCGAAGACCTGCTGGCAGCTCATAAGCTCTGGTCTGCTCACAGAGCTTCTAGAATTGCTCATGGTACATGGAAAGAACGCCATTATGATTGCCATCTTCTAAAACAAGTCTGCTTACATGAATGTATAAGAGAGAACATATAGTAGATTTTCAGGCAACTCAGATCTAACAGTATATTTAATCTTAGAAAAAAAAAGAAGGCTGACTTGAGATCCATTGCCTGGGTTATTTATATCACAGGGGAATTTGTAAAAGAGGAAGATGAAAAAGAAGAGAGCTTAGAGGATAAACTTATGAGCAAAGGGAAAGAAAAAGAGAACAACAAAGCAGGAAGTCCGTAGGACATGTCATGTTCCACAGAGGTCTCCCGATCTGGAGAATGACATCAAGATTGGTTTCCCTTTTGACAGTTAGCCTCCACCACAAACTACCACCCAGTGATATCCTTGTCTGGCCCTCACATCTTGACCCTTAAGTCATCTTTCTCTCATTTTACTCTCTTCAGTTTTTTATCTTTTACTTTGCTTCTACTTCTCTCATCCCGTGCTTCTCTCCCTGTCCTCTGTGCTTGTCCACTTGCCTTAGGGAGGAGCCATCACTTGTCCAGTAAGCCCCATCTTCATTTTCCTAGATGACTTAAATTCTTAAGTGCTTCTACTGGTGTATTTAATTGTTGCCAATCCTCTGGTGGAGTTGAAAGACCTATTGGGGTACCACATATTTAAAGAATTGTATACTAGGTGTAGAAAAATCACTGCGCATGTATTATGTATATTATATAATAATATATATGGGGAAGGATATTAAACTTCTTGCAGAAAAAAATAAAAGCATTTCCAAATTATGTACCTTCGAGAAAGCTTAACAAGGTTTATAACAACAGAAGGGATCCGGAATAAGAAAAAATATTCTTAGGAAAAGAAAGCCAAGTGTTATATTATGCTTAAAGAATAACACTTAACATCGGGCATTGAAGGTGTTTCAAAATTGTCCATGTTTAGCACAGTATGCACATTTTTTCACATAAAATATCGAAGAGCTTTATTTTCTCTTTGAGATCTCTTCTACTTTGAAAGTATTTTTCGAGAGACTTTCTCAAAAGATTTCCTGGAAACTAAAGAAGTTTATAACCAGTATAAGCCTATCTGCAGCTTTCCGTGCTGTGATTAAATTTCACAATTTATAGAGTGCTCTGACATTTCTCAGCGTCACTTTGCCTGTCCCTCAGTGTGTGTGCCCTGAGTGATAGCACGGCATGTGTTCTGGGCATGCATGCTGCCTTCTCTGGCTGCATCTCACGGCCACAGTTACTCTAACCCTTTAGAATACCAGGGCTCAGTGCTCCTTGAATGGCCATATCTGTGGCTCTGTCTGCTCTTACCTCCCAATTATTATGTCAACCTCTTCTTTTACCTTCCACAAACTATTTGTTCCTGTCTTTCCTCCCCCAGCTTGTGTTTCACACCTTGCTTTTTCCCTTACCTGACCCTCCTTCCTCCAAGCATTTTTCTTCCATATCTCAGGATATCTCAGCATTTCTTCCAAAGACTTGCCAACTAGGATGCCCTCCTCCTTCTTCTCCTTCTTCCCAACTTGAACTAGGATGATCTGTTTTTAACCTAGTGATATTAAAGGGATAGAAGCAAATCAAGTATAGGAAAAAAAAATGACAAGAAAATTATCGTAAAACCAAAATATATAATAAATATAATAGGAATATATCTCATTCTAAATGAGAGCTGAAAAACATAATATGTGCCACTGGCAAAATTCTAACAAATGTTTTTTCATTAAGAAGAAAGTACATATGATGATGGGGTTTCCAGGGAAGTTGAAGATAGGATTGTTAGCATGGGGTAATGAATCCATGAACACCAGGGAGTGAGAAAAGTGTGTCAAATAGAAGTATCAAGTTTCAGTTGTACAGTTGTATTTAAAGTAAATTTAAATGTATTACATAAAGGTTGTTATATAAATAAGAATTTTAAATTGTGATTGGGTATCCCACCCCTTCCCGAAACTTCCCCACTTGTTCGCTTCTCTTTCTTACCGCCTTTTAAACTTTTTTTTTTCCTTTTTTTCTACCCCTTAAACTGTTGTTTTTCAAAACGTGGTCCTAAACTACCTAGGTCAAAATCACCTAGAAGTTTATGAAAAATGTATAATGCCTGGGCTCAGTGCAGACCTATTGAATAAGAATCCTTGTGGGTGTTAAACCCAACGATTAACAAATTAGGTGATTCTAAAGCAGATTGAAGGTTGAGGGCCACTGCTTAAAAGTGCATGTTGTACTGGATTCTGTCCTCAGCCTCCTCTCTAAGCTCGCTCCCTTGGCAAACCCATTCCTTTCTTCAGGTCTAACTGCCACTTCTGAGTAGAAGACTCCAGTCTCCTTCTTTTATCTTCTGACCCCTTTCTCACACTCCATTCCCACAATTCCAGCTGTTTTCCTTAGTAGGTCCACCCGGCGCTCTAAGGAGTTGAAATAATAAGACCCTAACTCTCCAAATTCTTAGTAGAGAAGACTGAGGGAAGCAGTCTCTAGGGGGAGAGAATGCCCAGGGAGTACTAACCTCCTCTGTCTGAGGTTCACTGCCCTGCAGAGGTTTATTTTCACACTAAAGCTGCACCCTGCCCCCACCCTTTAAATCTCAGAAATAGCATGCTATTTGCTATTATAGATATTGCTATATTGCTATATATAGATATTGCTATAATCTCCAAATGGTTAAAAGCCTGGATTTAAATATTTTTTAGCAGTAGAATTTGGGAGAAGATTACTTTATTTCTCTAAGCCTAAATTTTCTCATTAGTAAAATAGGAACTAAAACAATAATTATTTAGGGTTAGGGTTTTGATTGTGGAGATTAAATGAGTAATACATTTCAAGCATTTAGTATAGGACCTGGAAATTAGTAATTGATCAATTAATGTTAGCTATTATTTGGAATAAAAACCAGGAGATGTTTTCCTTTCTTTTCTCAGTGTTGCTAAGATAGATTGTAATTTCCCAAAAGAAATTTGATAAATAAGACAAAAAAGAATGTAAAGAGAATATAAAAAGTATAATAACAGTGAAACTTTTAAGGTATAAGTTTCTAATTCTTGAGTAATTTACTTATATCTAATAGAACCTGAGTTCTAGGTCAAGAGAATCCCTAAATAGTCCATAGATTTTTTCCCACCTGTTCTTTTCTTTGTTCTTTCCAGAGAAAGTGATCCAGTCAGAATTCTTTGTCTGGGGCTTGGGGCGGGAGACTAGGGGGCTGTTCATGGCCCTGTCTGAAAGGAAAACACACTCCTCATATGCGCTTCCATAGGTCCCTATTACCACAAAAGTCAGAGGCATTAGGAGCCTCTCTCACCTCCTTGGGAGTAGAACTAGAGCTCATAAGTAGAGTTAAGAAACCGTCAGGTCAGTTAATCTGCTCAACTGAGGTAAGCACTTTGAACTGTTACCAAACTTGAAATCTCCAAATCATCCTCACTCATCTCTTATCTACCCTGGTCTTTACTCTTCATCTTCATTGCTCTCACTCAAATCTGGGCTCTCATTACCTAAATTATTACAGTAGACTCATAACTAGTTGCCGTACTATTCTAGAATGGATGTTTTGCCGTTTTTCTTATAGCTCAGATCATGTTGGTCTCCTGCCCTGACACCTTTAGCAGCTTTTCATTGCTGTCACATTATTGCTAAACTCCTTAACCTAGTATTTCGTTCTTCTTATTCTTTGACCTCAGCCTCTTTGGTTTAGTCTTCTGTCTCCCTGTTCCCCTAAAAACCTCAGATTGTGGTCAAATCCTGAATTTTCTTGTCTTGTCACTGTTGTATAGACAGTTATCTCCTACACAAAACTCTCTCCACCAAATCTTTGCCTACCAAATCTTTCTTCCCAGGACAGCTTAAATGCCAGTCCTTCCCGGTCACCTTAGCTAACCATGACCTCTCTTCTGAACCCTCATAACAATGTCTCTGCTTCTTTATGGCCCTTGTTATTGATTATCATTGGTGTATTACTTCTGAACTCTGTTCTCCTTAGGGGCAGGGAAAGCAATTTTTTTCTTGTACCTAGATAATCATTAGCAGAGTATTTAATATACGTTTTGCATTCAACAAATTTTTGTTGAATAAATTATTGAAGTTGTCATACTTCTACTATAAATATGATAGAAAAATTTTAATTTACTGGAAAATTATGAAATTAATAATAGTGTTTAGTTTGATCTTTCTCCAGTGCTTTATATGAGTTAGAAATGCTTATTTGATATTGAGTCCCTGCTTATAACAAAAAGATTACCATGAAATGAACTTTTTCCTGTTTGTGTCTGTAGATTAAAAAGGCCTAGTTTATCTTCATTGCTTTGAGTAAAATAACTAGCTTTTTTATTGTATACACAGAAATATGGGAAACTTCAAGAATATCTCAATTCTGCGGATTACTTTCAAGATGAGAAGTTTGACTAAATTGTAACACATTTCCTTCAGAGAAGATTTTATAAATCCTGTAAATGTGAAGATCATGGGTCTTGTTTATCTGTATCATGTGACATATCTATATATTTTATGTATATCTTCATGGCAAAAGATCTTGTTTAAAATATATGTTCATCTTAATTTCCGTGAAATGGAAATTCCACTCTACAGTCTAATAAAATTTTTATCTGTTGTACATAGAAATAAGCTTAATAATTTTTACATAAGTGTATTTTAAAGTTATATAGCAATGCCTTTATTACAGATGACTATCAAGTGAATGAGCTGCTCACATCCCGTCAGTTTAGTAGAAAAATACTTTATTGTAAAAATGTATTTAGACTAACATCTACATGTATTTATTGCTGAATCCCTGCCCAGATCTACTTAGTACCCTTTTGCAGTATTAAATGACCTTCACTAATATATTTTTTACTACTGTCATTATCTAGATCAATGGGCCATGGAAGAAACTTCAGTGTTCATCAGTTCAGTGCCCTTGCCTTAGAATCAGAGCATAGTTACCTGTGCCAGGTAGAGGAGTGAAACCTTCACTAAAGATTCCCTTGAAAATAGATTTCCGGCTTCCAGAGTTTTTCAACCCTCACCTTCAGGAATAATTTCATGATGTTCTTTATTTTTTCTATTCAGTTTTGTCTACATGTTAATGATTAAGATGTATTTTATTTCTTTTTATCCATAACTTTTCTCATATATGTATTTATGTTAGGATCAGAAGATCTCAAATAGAGTCAAAAATAGTTTAAAAGCATATTTTGACGTCTGCATTGCTTTGCACTAGATTTTTTCCCATAATATAATAAAGTAAAATGGTTTCAGAGTGAACAAATGGACCCTGTCTATTCTGTATCTTTAATTCTTAAAAGTAATGTTCTAGTAGGATCTATTTTACCGTTGAATTTTAGATACTTGTTTCTTACTTCCAGTGTTGGTTGAACCTAGCTTCATCTATTATATGGTTCGTGTCATGGACTTCAGTGTGTACGCATACATAAAAAGCTACATTTTATTAAGTTCTTACATAGAGATTATGTAATACTTTCTGCAATTAATTTTCCTGAAATTAATTGCTATTATTATTGTAAACAAAACAAGTAGAAAAAAGCTCACAAAGTGGTGAGAATACTGATGCTGATGTTCCATGTGAGGAGTGCATACCATTTCAAAAGTGTGAAACAGAAATTTCATTCACATACCTCTGCTCTTATTATTTCCCTAGCATATGGAAATAATCCTTAACTAAATGAAGTCATAGTTGAAAGCTGAAGATGAAGTAACAATGTCCAAAAAGAAGCAAGGCAGAATTAAAGGAAAAGTGATAGTCAAATTGGAAGGGTGAAGGATCATGAATGACTTGTAAAAAGGAAGGCCAGGGAAGATGAAAAAGAATGATCCCTAAGGTCTCTGATGACCATGGAAGCATCACTTCTCATACATGACACTACAGACAGGCTTGAGAGAACTGAAGAGTGAGAGTTCCAACTGGAGAGTTTTCTCAGTTAATTTATCTATTGTTTTTAATAGTACTCATTTAATTAGTAAAAATTATGGCACTAATGATTCCAGGTACCTATGATGGAAGCTGACCCAGCTTGTAGGTCAGGCATCCTGTTGGATGGAAGCATTTTTCCTGTTAGAACAGCATCCTGACTGCTGATCAGGAAATGCTAATAGGTAGTTTTCCTGATGTCTGAGGTCACTGCAACCCAGCAAGCTTGTTCAGTGGGTGTTTGAAGAATACAAGAGGCTTTTAGGTACATGATAAACCAAATGAGTGGCAGAGAGACAGGCTTTTAGGGAATGAGAGTCAGCATGGATCAAGGGTCAACAGAGAGTACCCTATAAGAAAATGAATTGTTCAAAAAACAGAATTAACTTTTACAGATATTATGACTTATTGTATTATTTTATCATCATCAATATCATTGATTCACTGTAACACTAAAAAGAAATAGTTTGTAAGCTTATAAATCTTACACATCTATGAGATTTTTAGACCTGGACGTTTATTACTGTAGTGTTAAGTGCTTTAGTGTTAGGTAGCTATGCATAGTAGAGATGATGAGGAAGGAAGCAATGGACAAGTAAAGGGGAATTAATGCTTGAAAGAATTCACATGGCTTTAGGGTTATAAGAGAGGGCATGGTGCCATAAAAAGGGAAAAACAAGGAAAAACGAAATGT